GGAAGAAACTTCTTTTAATATCTCTGCTTCAGTACTCACAGCAGGTTTTCCATTAACTTCCCAGTAAAACGAGTATAAAGAGAAAGCCGATATACTATTAAAACAATAGGATTCAGCATTTGGTATAGAACATATGTCCTGAACAACATAAGCCATTAAAGAGTCATAAATCACAGCTATTCTTCTGGCTGTGCTCGAAAGTTCGTGTACGAATGAGTAAACAGGCTCACGCAGATGTATTGATGCATGAAAGGCTGGAAGGATTTGCGAGGGAAATTTAGTGGTGGCATTGGGGTCAGGGAGAGGGCTGTCGAATGGAGGTGTTGGCAAATCAAGGAAATGAATATTGGTTGTAGCTGAAGGGTCCCAACCATGGACTCGAACCTTCGCCTGGCGGTTGTGTGTGGCTGTGCCGACGAAGTGGACTGGTATGTCATAGGCAGAGACGAGGCGGGAGAGGTGAAGAAGCTGGTTGAGATGGCCTTGTGCCGGAAGAGGCACCATTACCACTGCGACTTGAGCAACTTCCATAACATTTTGGACACCATTTTCTTGGCTATGGTTTTCTGAAGCCATTTTAATTGGTTTTCATATGCTCAAACAATGTTTTCTGATTTCATATAAGCGGTGCAGATTAGTATAAATTATATAGAAAAATCCATCAAGAATAAGCCATTGATTTTATTTTTAATTGTTCTCATTGTTCCTGGATTATTTTAAATTTCCTATGCAACCATTATGTCATCTCTTTTTTTCATCTATTGCTTGTGATGACAACGACTATTTTTTATTAGAATAATACTATCTAACACCAGTGTTAATGTCTGCGTACTTCACACACTTCGCTCATAGGTCTCACGACCCAACATATGATAAAATATAGCAGATATGCACAACCCGAAGGTAAATGAGAGTAAAATAAGTAATTTTTTAATGTATTTGCAGTGTTACACTTTCAGACAGAAGGACGAAATATTGTTCTTGGAACATAACTTTGAAATCTCAAAACGTAAATTGATGTTATTCTATTGTCTCTTTGTAAAGTGACTTCATAATCAGTCATGGACAGCTCATTGTGCAACTTCGTAGCTGGCTAAAGAATGACGGGTTGGAGCATTTTTTATGCCCTAGAATTGATAAAATCGCAACTGTGTGGTTCTTTGTTCCTATCGGCCATTCTAATAACATATCAATGCGGTTTGTCGAACATGTCAGAATCTACTTTTAAAACAGGCAGGAGTCACATAGCTGCCTGCGCCCGTGTGCCTCGGACTGGCTTGGGCTCGAGCCGTAGCCCCAAAATGGGGCTCGGCCAAAGCCTAGGCTTGGTTCCACCGAGCTTTTCCCTGGCTGAGCTGCTGACATCCCTAGGTATAAATAACAAATTGTAACCAAATTATAATGAGAAAGATCAAATTAACACCCTACTTGGATTTTGTAGAAATGATCTCAAGTCCACCCATGAAACGCCTTAATGGATAAGGTATAACAATAGAACCATCTTCTTGCTGGTAATTCTTGTTAGGCATATTGGGCCTAACTCCACCTAATAAAACCGGCTTATTAGGGGAGGATTGCCCTCACCTTATTAAGTGGATTATTTATATTTTCCCAAGTAATGTGGGATTCTAATACGCCCCCTCACGCACAGCGTGGACCANCCCAAGCAATGTGGAATTCTAATAATTCTCAAGCAAGCTTATAATCATTCTTCGAAACTGCACATGCCATTGCATTTAGTGTGTGAACAAACCGTGTTGTCGTAGAACTGCCTTTACCCTTTTTGGGAGGAATGGATGATTCTGGACGATATCAAATGCCTAACCGCCAGCTTTGGTAGTCTGTACAATTAGAGGCACTTGATATCTATTGAAGAAGATCAGCAAAGATGATTGGAGATTAGTACATTACGAAACAAAAACAATTGGTAGGTAAGCAGCAAAGTTATTATCATACCTCACCATAACGTCCCAATCCAGGCATCCAGGCCACCACACCAAATTTACGATATGCTGGTGCACCCAAATCCTGTGTTGCCATGTCTATAGTTCTGTGAAAATTAGCATCGTGATGAAGTCATCAACCCAGCAAGTGGGAAATGAATAGGAAAGACTATGGTTAACACATCAATAGACAATTTAAATCCAGAAGAAATGAAGTCAGATGCACACTTGAATTGAAGTCTAAGCAAGGAGAAGAGGTCTTCTTCGATTTCAATAAGTTCCTCATGGAGGAATTACTTTCCTCTGGTCGGCATAATATGAACATCTCTACCTTGCTAAATTGGTGTACTCGATAAAGGTCCCTGTCCCAAATTGTCAACAATCAAATTCGTTGAAAAAAAGGTCAGCAGATTACATTTTCAGAACAAAAGTTAGCAATTCAACCTAAGTCAAAAGCATGGATAATGATGGCTCCCCAAATACCAGAGAGACATTACTGCACAACTTAAGCATTCACAGAAGCATGTTTTCATGTTGGTACAGAATATTTTGCCACAGCATCATATGCATACATCGATTTGTTGGTGATAAAGAAACAACTAGATACAAATTAAGAACCTTCAACAACACCATTTAACACTTAAATTTGAAATGATTAAGCACATATTGGATTATATGTATTTGATAACATTTACTAACGATCTCTTAAAAGCATATGACTGCCTTAAAATTCAAGCAAAAATGTTTTGAATGTGTCTATGTTTCCGTAGACACACATAGGTACAATATACAAGCTACATAATACATAATGATATACACGTAAAAGAAATACCCCTTCTATAATTGATGATAATTATTCTATAAAAGTTACTAATATTTGTTCAAATCAAGGACAGGGCCAAACAGTTTCTCATGTTAAAAATTTGGCATATACGGAGATCAGTACTCAATAATTCAGTGTTTAGTATGTTCGGTCACCAGATCCCACTTTTATCGAATCACGCATCAGCAATAGAAAGAGAGAACTCAAAAACGGAAAGAACCAAAGGTAACTAAGAGTTAGGGATGGAAGCTGTGAACAGATATAATTTTTGTTTTACAAATGCACTGATGAACTTAAATGAAGTCAAGAGCATGGAGATTTTGCAAAACCTCATTAAGTTTTACCTTGTTGCAGCCCCTGCAGCACCGGCTTCTGTACGAAAGCAATGGGAGAAGGCCACGTACTTTAAAGGTAATGAGGACTCAGGAATAATGAAATCCATATGGATTCCACCCACTGGAATCTCGGCAGTGCCTATGAGACATTGATCGCTACCCTCAATGGAGTAAACCTGTCACAGAAAGCATAATGGAGAACGGTAGAATACTCCGATGACAGAAGAGGTAATATTTGGACATTTTCAAAATTGAGAATCG